CTGAGGAATATATCCAGAACTTTGTAGAATGAAGTTCTGAAGGCAAAAGGGGGTCCAACCTAGAACTAGTAAAGTGTACCTAATAAAGTGACCGATGAGTATAGATAGATAGATAGATAGATAGATAGATAGATAGATAGATAGATAGATAGATAGATAGATAGATAGATAGATAGATAGATAGATAGATAGATAGATAGATAGATAGATAATTTAACCATCACTGTCGGACGATTGTCACTTGTTGAACCTAATGTATGCTTTAAAAAAACTATTGAACGTTCTACTTGTGAGTTTGAGTTCACATATTTAACTTGGCATCCACTAATCTGGATACGGTGCTGGTCATTTGTCGAAGCTCAAGACGCGACGTGTTAATGAATCAGCCGCTTGTTTCCTTCTTAAATCGGCCCACATCAGGTTTAGCCGGCCGATCAGGTGCACCTCAGGTCACTTGTGTACACTGTAACTCTTTTAGAGCAAACACTGAGAAGGTTTTTGTGAGAGGATTAATAAAGGGCTTAACAGGAACGTTCCCTGCTTGTGCCGTGTGTGTGTGTGTGTGTGTGTGTGTGTGTCCTCATAGGGAGGGCAGCAGCAGTTTTTGGGTCCACGAAGAGATCAGGTCAGGACGCCCCATGCTGGGGGCCATGCTGTCCTGGGTCGTATGATACATAAGAGGAGGTTCAATTCAAAGAATAGGACTTATTTCTCTGACAAGATTTATTGTTCTGAGTAGCTACAATGTGATGTAATAGTGCGCTACAACAGCCACAACACAACGTTGCCTAAAGTGCTGAACAAAATCAATACTATTTAAAAAAAAACCTACATCACATACATGACAATTAAAACATAAGGCAAACCCCTCAACATTAAAAAGGCTCAACTGCTAAAGAACAAAGATGGAGTTTCAGAAGCTTTTTATAAACAGATGGAGGAGTGTGTCTGATGTGGGCTGGAAGCCTGTTCCAGAGTTATGGGGCGATAACAGCAAAAGCTCGATCCCTACTTCGCTTACCCCAGGACCTTATACCGAAAGAATAAACTGATCAGAAGTCCTTAGTGACCTACCAAGATTATATTCGTGTAGGAGGTCTGATAGGTAAGATGGTGCCAGATCATTTAAGAATTTAAAAACAAAAATTAAGTTTAATATCAATCCGTAACAGGCAGCCAGCCCGGAGAGAAAAGAACTGGGGATATGTGCTCATACTTCCCTGTCAGAAGTCTCGCAGCCGCATTTTTACTAATTGCAATCTATTCAGGACATTTTGACTAATACCCACATATAGAGAGTTGCAACTGTCCAGTTTTCCCAAAATAAAAGCATGAATCCCCTTCTCAAGGTCATTAAAATAGGGAAATGACTCCACTTTTGCCACAAGTCGTAAATGGAAAAAAAAAAACGGGATTTAACAACTGAATTTACTTGTTTGTTAAATTTCAGATCACTTTCGAAATGTAAGCCAAGATTTCTAACTACAGGTTTTTGATAAATTGATAGCTCACCAAAACCTAATAAATGCAGAGTGTCATTTAAATCCCAGAATGGTATATTTAATGATCAATCTATTAAAAACAAACAAAATCTGACTTGCGGTGACAAGATGTGGCATATTGACGGTGTGTTTTAATAGCCAAAAGGATAAAATTGGCTGAGAAAAGAGTAGATAGATAGATAGATAGATAGATAGATAGATAGATAGATAGATAGATAGATAGATAGATAGATAGATAGATAGATAGATAGATAGATAGATAGATAGATAGATAGATAGATAGATAGATAGATAGATAGAGATAAAAAATAAAGGTCACGACTGAACATTGGATGGATGGATGGATGGATGGATGGATGGATAGATTGATAGAAAGAACTATAAATCGATAGATAGATAGATAGATAGATAGATAGATAGATAGATAGATAGATAGATAGATAGATAGATAGATAGATAGATAGATAGATAGATAGATAGATAGATAGATAGATAGATAAAAAATAAAGGTCACGACTGAACATTGGATGGATGGATGGATGGATGGATGGATGGATAGATAGATAGATAGATAGATAGATAGATGGATAGAAAGAACTATAAATCGATAGATAGATAGATAGATAGATAGATAGATAGATAGATAGATAGATAGATAGATAGATAGATAGATAGATAGATAGATAGATAGATAGATAGATAGATAGATAGATAGATAGATAGATAGATAGATAGATAGATAGATAGATAGATAGATAGATAAAAAATAAAGGTCACGACTGAACATTGGATGGATGGATGGATGGATGGATGGATGGATGGATAGATAGATAGATGGATAGAAAGAACTATAAAACGATAGATAGATAGATAGATAGATAGATAGATAGATAGATAGATAGATAGATAGATAGATAGATAGATAGATAGATAGATAGATAGATAGATAGATAGAAAATAAAGGTCACGACTGAACATAGGATGGATGGAAGGATAGACAGATAGATTGATAGAAAGATCTATAGATAGATGGATGGATGGATGGACGGATAGATTGATAAATAGAAAGAACTATAGAACGATAGAATGTATAGAACAATGGATAGAACGATGGATGAATGGACAGATAAATAGATATTATTGTGGGCGTGTTTTTACAGCCAATAGGATGAAGTTGGCTGAGAAAAGTGATTTTCTGTTATTTGCTGTTGCTAAATGTAATCAGGTGCTTCAAAAGACTCTTTTATAGGGTAAATATTTGTACACGCCCCCGAGTGCAAGATAAGTCGTCAATATTTTCGGTGCGCTTTCCTAGAAGGCTGTAAATATTTAAACCACATATCAGTTTTTACGAGTACACAAGCTTATGAATGACCTTAAAGCTAATAAACATGAACTGAAACCCACAAATATCCAATACTGATCCATGAACACTTGATTTGTTTATTATTTCCAGACTTTAAGCAAAATCTACGCTTACAATGTGTCGATTCATCTCAGAGTGGGCTTGTTTGGTTTATGGCTCAGAGGTTTCTAAAGTTTCTTTGAAAGAAATATTATAAAACCAAGGTCGTCAGGCAAGTGGGCGCTTCACACATAACTCGATATCTTTATGCTGTGTAAAAGGAATGGTATCTTTATAGTGCTATTTAAAGCATACTTGCTACTATCTACAAAAATACAGATAAAAGATATGCTGTTAGGGATCACAAGTATCCGGTTCTAGAGTCCAACATTAGGAAATCTGGACCCCTATGGTTGTAATCGTCCGAGATTAAAGATACACTATCAATATAAAACGATAAGAGTGTTATTAAAGTTAGTTAAATGGATTTACAGCTAATACCTTTGCAATCTGTCCATCCCCTCTTCTTAACTGACATCTGCTAATTGTGTTTAAAGCAGTTCATAAGACCAATGGTTCCCAAAGTGGGGGTCACAAGACATTAAGTGGAGGTCGCTTGGTGATTTCCAAAAATATTGAATATGTTATTAAACTATTAGAATTACCATATTTTTTCTATGATGTACAGAGGATACAAACTGTATTTAATAGTTACATTAAATAACAACACGCAAATAAAAAGCCACCAGCCTTTCAGTTCTTTTCTCCACTGGTTTGCGACCCCTGGGTTGTTACGCTAGATTAATGGCATAGCAATACTGTTTTTTGCAAAAGATTGATTTTATAACCCAATGTTAAATTCTGACACCTTCACAGCACTCACGTACATTAAAAATAAAGGCCACGGCTGAATGTATGGATGATCTCTAGGTCTCCAAAATTAAACCAAGAATATTTGTGTGCTGTAAACATCAAGATAGATAGATAGATTGATGGAAGGATGGATGGATGGATAAAATGAAAGATAAAACGCGATAGATAGACAAAAAAATAAAGGTCACGACTAGACATTGGATGGATGGATGGATGGATGGATGGATGGATGGATGGATGGATGGATGGATGGATGGATGGATAGATGGATAGATAGACAGACAGACAGGCGGACAGATGGATAAAATGATAGATGGACAGGAAAGACAGAGTGACAGAATGATAGATAGATAGATGGATGGATGGATGGATGGATGGATGGATGGATGGATGGATGGATGGATGGATGGATGGATGGATGGATGGATGGATGGATGGATGGATGGATGGATGGATGGATGGATGGATGGATGGATAGATAGATAGATAGATAGATAGATAGATAGATAGATAGATAGATAGATAGATAGATAGATAGATAGATAGATAGATAGAGCAGGCAGACGGACGGATGGATAGTACAATAAATAGAACAATAAAATGATGGATAGATAGATAGACAGATAGAACAATAGAATGAGATAGATAGATGGATGGATGGATGAATGAATGAAAAGATGGATGGATGAAACGATAGATAGATAGATAGATAGACAGACAGACAGACAGACGGACGGACGGACGGAAAGAAAAAAAAATGAAGGCCATGGCTGAACAGAGGACGATCTCTTAGTGACGTGCTGCAAAATTAAACCAAAAATAGTCTTGTGCTGTAAACATCGGGCTCACCTTTCTCATTAACCAAGGTTAATAATAAATTAAACAAATTAATAAATGACTATTAATAAATGATATGGTTGTTAGATTGTTGCACGTTTTTGTGTTGTCAATAAGCTTGTTTATTTCCCAGTACTTGGTTGCAGCTGGTGGGGCATCCGCTGCATAAAACATATATGCTGGGTAAATTGGTGGTTCATTCTGCTGTGGAGCCTCCAGATTAATAAAGGAACTAAGCCGAGAAGAAAATGAATAAATGAATAAGCTTGTAGTGTGCACTGTTTGTATGTTTATGACCATCTTCAAGGATAGTGGGGGTCGCAAGTCATTAGGATTGTTATTTTGGGGGTCACAAGCTTAAAAGTTTGGGAACCCCTGCTTAAGACCACCAACTGCTACCTGCTGGAATCCAAAGTGTGCAATGAATAGCAAGAGAACCAGGATGAATGTTAAAAAAATATTTATTGACAATTGTGTAAAAAAATAGCTTTCTAAACATAATTTACATGGCTAAACCCAAAAACAAAATCAGAGTTGCAATCATGCCTACTGAAGGTGAAAAATAATAAACATCACTCGTTCCTCAAACATTCATGAGGTCATTTCCTCCAACATATGCACAGCAGACGAGTTTAAATTAGGTGACAAACATGACTTCAGACTGGTAGGTTTCCCACCAACAGCAGTACTCCATGCATCGAGAAACACAAGTGCTTTAGAGGATTATTTACAAATGTACATATCGTTCTCACAAGAAAAAGGCTTTAAATATGGTAAAAATACACATTTAAATAATTTGTGGGCCCTTCGGTGGTGGAATGAGAAAAAACTTTGCAGAAAAAATTGCTTCTTTATAAATAAATAAATAAATATTTCCACTTCGATCTCATGTTTTCTTCTTTAAGACACTCCAATAAATATCATTCACACGTAAGCCTCGTCATGGAATCTATTTACAATATCAACAAAAATAGTATGCAGAAAATGTAGTCTTAAGTTGTAGTTGCATTGCTTTGTGCATCTGTGAGTGGTAGTCGTTGAGGGTTACTCAGTATAAGGAAGAGGAAAACAAACAGCGGTCTGAAAGAGTGAGGTAAGACTTGATATATTCTGCAGAGGTTTCATGAGGTCCATTTGGTTACTCTCTCTCTATCTCTGACACATTAGAGTAAGACCGACAGTCACCGGCCAGAGGCAGGCAAAGTGGAAGCAAGACGGTAAAAAAGACATCTGGTTAAGGAGTAGAGTGTTACAGTGGCTATTACTCAATTCAAGTATTTCCACAAAAATCAAACGAACAAACAAAACCCTTGATCTTGCACAGAAGGCACTAAAATTATTAAGCTCGGCTGATCTGCGTCCTAACGGAACAACCCTGACAGATCACAGCTTCTTCTGTTCACAGTCGCTGTTTTGGGTGTTCCCCGGCTCCTCCCTACACTGGGCGTTCAATCTGGATCCTCTGAGCCAGACTAGTGGGACCCGGAGCCACAGGCGAGCAGAGATAACAGATCACACTAAAAGGTGACCTTCTCCCTTTTTTTTTTGGCCTAGCCTAGAACTCCCACCTAGCAGCGATACTTGGAACAAAACGTTTTGCTCAGTCCGCAGGTCCCCTGGGTGGTTTGCTGCTGTAATGGAAAGTCTCTATGTACGCGCTCAGACAGAGTCATTTGCACACGGTGACTGCTGGGAAAGCAGCGGGCTGATGCTCGTGGCTGATGCTGTGCAGCCTGATCTCAGTGCTGTCCGTAGGGGGCGCAGTGCTCTGCATCCAATCGTGGTTGATGATGTCCTCAAAAGACGGCCGATCAGCAGGGCGGAGGGCCAGGCACCACTTGATAAGCTGCTGACATTCTGTAAAAGAACAGGATGTTTGATTAGCTCTGCTGTAAAGCCATAAAACTGCTTAAAGGTGGCGCCGTGTGATTGAGTGTGTCTCACCTGTGGAGATTCTCCTCCTGAACAGCACCTGTCCTCGCACGATCTCTTCGTCCTGCTCAAAGGGGATGTCCCCGCAGACCATATCGTACAGCAGAATGCCGAGAGACCAAACAGTGGCGGATCGACCGTGGTAGCGGTGAAATTTGATCCACTCTGGAGGACTGTAAACACGAGTGCCTGATGGGAGAACAACAAAAAAGTACAACACATAAGCATATAATCAGAAACAAACCCTCATGTGAACTTTGAAACAAACAAACCCTCATATAACCTTTCATTTTAGGATCCACTAAAGTAACCAAACACTGTAGTAAGAGGTGCGGCAGGAAAAGGTGTGCCATGTTTGAACATTATTGTTGTGGCGCAACATTACTGTGTACAGTCATGCGCTTGGGAGCGTGAGGGTAGGTGTGTGCATGTGGAGAAAACTGGTTGCCATGTGACTTGTGTTTACAAACTTTGAGTTGTAACAACTCCAGTTCCCACCGGAGGGGGCGACAAAACCAAACTCAACGAACTGCGTTTCCCCCCAAAGCAACGTTATACAAAAAAATAAACAAATCATCACGTTGGTCGATTTATTAAGCTTGACAAGGGTTGTGAACGACAAAAGGGGGTCAAGATACGCATTTCTAAAATGAGAAACGGCAGATTTGCTTAATATATGTGGTTTAAAACGCTTCTACATATAAACACACACCCTTTCAAGCTTGACAGAATTTCTAAATCAAACAACCATCAAGCGCCATCGAATTTACAACTTACAACATGGATTAAACCATTTTAGCGTGGATGTGTTTTGTTTACAAACCTCGCACTCGATGTATTTTGATATTTGTATACATTTTTATACATTTAAACATGTATACAGTATTTACATGAGAGCAGGCAAGCCTGTATTTGACGTTACACTCCCCAACCCTCTAATTCCGTGACCGTGGGAATCCCACCTTGAAGGTCATGCAAATGGCTCTTACCGTCGAAATCAGTGTAAACGGTGTCTTTCAGCAATGCTCCTGATCCGAAGTCGATGAGCTTCAGATCGCCGGTTCGCAGGTCGATGAGAATGTTCTCGTCTTTGATGTCGCGGTGAACGACGCCGCTGTTGTGGCAGTGACGCACCGCTTCCAGAACCTGGCGGAAAAAGTTCCTGGCCAGCTCCTCCGGTAACGCGCCCTTCTCCGTGATGAAATCAAACAGGTCCTTGACGACCTCCGGTCTTTCCATGACGATTATGAAGCTGTCCGGTCGCTCGTACCAGTCCAGCATTTTGATCACGCCACGGAATCCGGTCCCGACCTTCTTTAACAGGACGATCTCCATAGGGACGCGCGCGCCATTGGGCTGGAAACGGAGGACATGCTCGTTTAACTGACGCTGTCATTTATTATTTATAGGCGACATTTACACATACACATAACATGAAGATAATCTATTTAAATTACTCACCAGTTCTCCCCATTCGGTCACACGATCTTTTGCAACATGCTTGATGGCAACCTAGAAAAAAATAATAATAAACAAATCATTAAACAATGAAGCGATGCTGCATATAGAATGTTTAAATATGTTACAAAGACGTTTTATATTCATTCTAGACGTCCACGCTTATGTAAACAAAAATCCTCCATTGAGGGAACCTACCGGCGCGCCATCGGCGATCCGTAAACCCGCATACACCGTCCCGAAACCACCGCTTCCAAGCACTGTGCCGACTTGATACACTTTGTCGAAGGGCTCTTTCTCCTTAACTGTCGATAAAACATTTGATAGTTTCATAAGAATGGATAAAAGCCACAGAATTATATAATAATTGCAAATCTGACGCACGCGCTATTCCCAGCACTGTCTGCTGACGTGAACGAGCGCCCAACACACACAAACACACACACAAATGAGCACGAGAATAACCGTCCTCTAACCTTGAAGCTGGATTTTCGCCGGCATGTCCACGGTTGAAATGTGAGCAAATGTGTTGAATTTTGATAGAAGCATGTTATAATCCAAAATGCGAGTCCTTCGTGAGGGTTATTCCAATGTGGAGGTCGAAAGCCGTCGTGTTGAGATGGATGTAGGGAAGGTCTAAGCGAGGGATCCGATCTAGAAGCTTGTAGAAATCCCTTCTCATCGAGGCACGGCGGGTTTGGATTCCCAACACGAACTTAAGACGGCCGCGCGAGGTCTATTCCAGTTTGGAATATAAAACTTACAATATAAACAAACGATTAATAGCACGAAGATAAATATTATTTGTCTGAGGTGCGCGACGAACACAAACACCCGGCTTTCTAAAGCGTGAGGGAGGGGCAGAAGCCGTTATATACCAGTAGTAAAAGGGAGGGGTGAAGGTGAGTACGTCAGCAATAGCTCGTCCCACAAACAAGCCTCAGCCAATGAGTAATGCGCCAGCCTCCGCAGAAAAAGGTCAATCAAATATGAAAATAAAGGAAAACGTAGACGTGGCGGGAATCAAAACGCGCCAAATTGTCCAGGCTTTTTTGAGGGCGTTCAACCGGCGTGGGGGCAGACATGGAAAATGATTCACATGGCAGTGTGTATTAAACAACATCGACGACACGAAAAACCTGACGCAGATTCAAAACATTAATTCAGAGAAGTGAGAAGAGTACAGCCTATTACAAAAATAGATCCACACATCATAGGATATACATTAAAATGTCGCAAATGTAAGTATTTATTATATCTGATGGAAAATCTTTACATTTTATTTAATCATAAAATTATATTGAATTCAGAGCATTTACATTATATATATGCTGCAGTTTCAGTAAAGAACAACACTAAACAATAAGTAAATGAATAAGTAATATAACAATTATTTACATCCTTGTCGTCAGGTGGATTTATAGTGCAAATCATAAGTTTTATATATCTTTATAAAAAATAATAATTTCTTGTGCAGAAATTATGATGCAAAATCAACGTGTTTGCAGCTCGTCTTCATGCAAATGATGAAAGGTAACAAAGTTAAGAGAATTCTGCAGCGTTACTACAACCCACGTTTACCTTCTCACGAAACATCAAGACAAGTGTTTTGTTTGTTTTGTTTCAGTCATGTGAAGTAGGTCTTCAAAGTGTATACGGAGACCGCATGCACTGCATTACCTCATTAATCTCAAATTAGCGCGCAAAGTTTTTTTTTCTCCAATTGGCGGGCAACAGGCTTTATTTAAACTGAGAACAATGCCGGTCGCTATGGAAATGAGGCGCATACCAGGCATTCTTTCAAATTGGGTGGCCGGTTTTAAACTCGGCGGCAGGATGTGGGAAACTTGAGATAAAAGACTTCAAGTCCCTTCCCCCACGTCTCTTGTCCTCGCTTTCCCGCCCAGATTATTGTTTGAATGCCACTTGCTCTCCCCGTCTAATGTATTTTCCCCGCCCTTTTGGTAAAAGGCCTAAACATAAACAAAGTAAATGTAAACCTATATTACACCTGTTTTATGGTCACTATATGCATCTTTACTGACTGGTCAGACACCACGGACACACAGTTATTTATGAACCTGTCAGTTTTGAGATTTGGGCTTTTCATAAAGTCATTTTTTTACATAAAAAAATAATAAAAGAACTTGAAAAAAGTGGAGCTTTTGCCACATCAATCTTCTGTATATATATTAGGGCTGCACAATATATTGTTTCAGCATGGGTATATATATTATATATTATATTTATATATAATTTTATTATATTATTTAATTAAATATAATAATATAGTGTTATTACTGTTTTTATTATGATACAGTGATTATTTAATTTCTGCTTCTAAATACTGTTTAGCTCCCCAGAAAATCATAAATTATTGTTGATTTGCATCTTTTATTTAACTTTGTAATTTTTATATCATATTTAATGCAGATATGCTTCCCTACACAATCATATAAATTGATCTAAAATTGTGAATTATTTACAAGCTATTTAAGTCATCTGGTAAAACTAGATTTATAACGCATTATATATCGCCGTGAATGAAAAGATTGCAATGTTAGTTTTTTCCCATATATATATATATATATATATATATATATATATATATATATATATATATATATATATATATTTCTCAAAATGTGTTTTTTTCCTGCATTGAGACATATTTATACTTCAACAACCCTTACATTTTAGTTTATTTATAAATATGAAATATAAACATACATTTTTTTTAAGTAGGAATTTGCTTTGATGTATACATTTTATTCTACAAATTGATTTGTCACAATAAAATTGTCTAAAAAAAGAAAAAGAAATAAAAAATTTAAACCAGACTTTATCCAGTGTTCACATTTTTGTGCTAGAAATATATGCAAATGTATGCATATTTAATAAAAAAGAATGCCTCATTTGCATATTTAAACATACAATCTTAAAAAAACTTATGATAAAAAAGTGTAATTCTTAATCAACTGCAAGTATTGTAAAACCCATTAGACCCCTCCCCCATTCTAGTCCTAAATAGCAAGAGTCTAAACGCACTCAATGACCCAATTGAGGCAGTAACTTGATCCTGCCTCAGAAGCTGGATTGAGACGCATATACAAAGAAACAACTCGGCCAAGTTCTGCTTGCTCAGGCCACATATGTAAACTTTACTCCTCCCAAACAAAACAGCATCAGTACACAGAAGTTTGGGAGTCCCGCAAAAATGACACGTGGATGAGACACAGGGATGCACAAACAGGAAAAAAGATCAAAACATTAATAGCCATATGGGCTGAAGAGGGCGTTTAACAGCGAATTTTGATGCTCAGAGTTTGCATAATGACAGAAGTGATCTTGGTTATATTTGCAAATAGCGTGGGAAGATTGTATTTATATCTGTTCTGTGGAAGTGTGGCCGAGTGAATGTGCATTTCCAATTAGATGCAATTGATCCAAAAACATGACGTGGCTCCAAATTTATTTGAAAACTTGCATGAACGTCATTACATGAAAAATAATCATTTAAAAAAATCAACATTAATCAAATGTGACTTACGTCGGGTATATTATAAGCAATAGTTAACAATACATTGTATGGGTCAAAATCATTAATTTTTCTTTGATGCCAATAATGATTAGAATATTAAAGGGCTCACAAAAATTAAAAACGTTTTTTTAGATGTTAGTATCAGTATTATACATTTTTTTAGGATATCTACTAACTAGTTTGCCCCAAATTTGTGACAAAATTCACATTTAGAAGTTATAAAACTGATATAAACGTGTAAAGCGTCCGCCCAAATGGATGAACGCTTTTATTCAAGATCACCTCACACTTTCTCATCACATTATAACCAATCAAACGCTCTCCAGTATCTGACGTGCCCCGCCCCCTTTAGGACACTTTTTTATTTGCTAGGGATGTTCCAATCAGGTGTTTTTGCCCTCGAGTTGGAGTCATTTGATTTTGAGTATTTACCGATACCGAAACCCGATCCCATACTTCTATAATACATAAATAGGAATGAAGAAGAGCGAAGAAGCATCCATAGGAGAGACATAGGAGCTACGGATGAACTCCATATGCCTTTGGTGAACGAAACATGGGGTACATCTCATAACAGGACAAGTAGTTTGTCAAAAATCTTCTAATAAAGGACTGGCAGAGCTTTCTCTGTGTAATATTGGTGAGGTGGCATTTTAAATCGTGGTTTTACATTTATTTTTGAGGTGTCTTATCAGGTTAGTTGTTTTAAATGTAGCCTTTTCTTTTCCACCTCTTGCAGTGCCAAGTTTACATATCTTACAATGTTGGCTATGTTGTTGTCATTAACTTTATTACTCTTTCTGCTTCCGAGTTCTACGCTGTCGGCATTAACCAATAGCGTCTCTGCAACAAAGTGATGTCATTTCGCATGAGTTGCTGTTTCTGTGTGAAGTCAAGAAAGAGGTCTAACTCTGTACCACCGCATAACTACAGATGTCTTAAAAATAGAATAGAAACAGAAAATAAAAATAGAATATGTGTATATATTTCTGAGTACTGATCGGGAGGTAATGTCCGTTTCTAATAGAGTCTGAAACCATTTGATTATTAGGTCAATATACAAAAAGATTGAGAGCAATTTATCTTAATTGTTGGACACTTATCTTCATATAGTGCTATTTAATTTACATTAAATTATGAATAATATATTTTTGTTTTTCCATAACTTGGACTTGTTGGACATTTTTAGTAAATGGTGTGGCACACCAAAGCACATCAAAACTTAATTTTATAGTAGTTCAAAAAAGTTAAATATGTAAACAATTCTGAGACAAAATGTAACAGGTGCACATTAAGTAAAGTGTAAAGTGTAGATGAGATACAGCCCCGCATGCATACATCAGTATTGCATAACTTTTATGACACTATCCGATTCTAATCGATTCTGAAGCCGCGTGATCGGGCCCGATTTTCGATGACGTGATTGGATCTGGACATCCCTATCATTTGCTTTTCATCTGATGTGCTTGAGCTCAACAACTCACAGTGGTAGAGCTGTGATAAAACCAATCACTATTAGGTGTTGTTTTAAAAGGGGAGGAGCTACTCTATGCCCCACCCCTTCTTCGTGTTTCCGTTGAGATTGCATCAAACATCGAATAAAAATGCACATTTCAAAGCACTGCACAGGACCTTTAAGTCAAGTAAGATCATGTTTCATGAAGATCATTTTGTAAATTGTCTACACGATAAAAAATATATGATTAGTCCTGACAACATGTGTTTTTAAGGCCATTATAATTTATTAAACTAAGTTAATCATGTTCTAACTTAATTTTACAAGTTACTAATGCTGTTTTAAGTCAGTGTAACATAATACAAGTTCATTAAACTCATAAGGTTATTTTGATTCAGCTTAAAAATTAAGACAACCAGGATTTTATTTACTATAAATACATCAAAAATTAATGTTTGATATGTAATATGCACTGCTCAGCACCTCGTTTAGCCAACATTACAGGAGATTTTCAAAGTATTTGGATATTCAAATAATCTTATCCTGCACTTATATTGTCTAATTCTAACATCAAAACCAAAATACCAAAATATTTTTTTACAAAATTGACACTTATTACTGGTTTTGTGGTCAATCATCACAAATAATTGAGTTTAAATAGTCTTAATTACAATAATATGGATATAGTGAGTTTTAAATGAAGACTTCTGTCTCTAAATGTTTTTAGTGCTGCTGCACTTGTGTCAGAATTATAATTCAAACAAATTGCTCAAATGACCCTGC